AAACAAATAAACCCAATCCATGAAAGTATACAGCTACAATATGAAGCAGCATTTCTTTCTTAACTCTATGGTTATTCATGGAAAATACCCCCAAATTTAACATTGACCTTTCATTATATTCAAACCACCATGATTTCATACACATTTTTCTAACTCTTGTGATTGAAAACTTTGGTCCAAACAGATATCATTTAATAGTTTCACAGAATTTATTTGATTAAAACGTTGTAACCCAAGATCTTTATAGAAGATGACAAAAGGCAACACTGGAAGAGTTTGATCATTTTGTGAGTATTGCATCACATCTCGATTCCAAATACTTTATTTGGACAAACACCAGGAAAGGATGATTCATTTAGTTGGTATTTCTGGTGATGTTGATACCAATTCTTCAAGCGAGTCATCAGATGGATTGTTGTCACAGTCAAGTCTAAGCACATCACACCTACTAACCAGTCACACATACTTCCTGGAATAACGCACACAATGTTTCTGCACTAACTACCACATTCATTTTTGCAATCACTTTGAACTTTTACTTCCAGATCCAAAACTAATTGCATGCGTTTGTGATTGTTTATTTCTGGCATCTTCAGATTCTTTCCAGTCCACTTTCTGTTTATGTTGTGTGACAGCTTCATTGACTCTGGCGTCTATCATTTCTTCAGTTAGAAGACCCTCCTCCGATGCGTAACCACTGGCCTAAAATAAACATAACAAAGTTAGGCTTCTTGGCAGTTGGAACTTTAACTCAAAAACCATTCTGCCAATAAAAAAACAATCGAATATCGCCAGTCTAATTTGCATAAAAAGTTAATAGATAACTCAACAGACCACTTGTAGAAAACACTATTGTATTGACACACTGGTGCACAAAAATGTTTGCTCAAAGAACGAAGACAAGTTACTATGATATTATTTGTACACCAAAACAGCAACAAATTCAATTAATGTTTGCTGTACATGTTTCAAGATACTGTTATTGGAACGTTAGATCAAACCATTTTACAAGGGTGGACAGTTCTGCTAAATTCTAATTGAGCAAGAACAACACTTCAGTAAAACTCTAACATTACTGGCTGCATTAGAACAGGGTGAACATATTGGATATGAAACAGAACAAGTCATTGAAAATGACAGTCCCTGTTGGTAGTTATATAAATGTAGCAATTGGTGGGGTTAGTAGTATGATGGTAGATTATAGTAGACAGGTGTTATAGTTTTTGTTGGTGTTATCCCACATAGTACAAAACATTCATGTCTTTATTATCTAATATGGCTGACACTCACATGATAGACATAATACGAACTTAAGCCATTTTGTTTGTGTATTTGTGTTGGATGTAATCGAACAAGGCATATCACAGATATAGCCTGGAATAGCACTTGATGGTTGCCAGAGCCACTTTGAAACCAATATGGAAGATAAACATGCATCAAGATCCCACCATGCACCTGCATACTTGAGCAGTGAGTACATGCATATTATTTAATTTTCTTGAAAATTTGTCATGTGAACATTTATTATGAATGGATGATATAAAATGAGAGGGAATTGTATCTTTTTAGTTTTATTTCCTTTTTATGTCGGTTTGACCTAACCAGCTCTAATAAAACATTCTTGAAACACAAAAGTCATTGAGTAAGCTGGTAATGTTGCTGTTGTAGAATATAAAACAATACGACAGTGACAGTAAAATACATACCTGCCATGCTACACCAATCTTAGCGATTTCTCGTCCAGATAAACCATCCGTCTTTTGCGCTATTTCTTTGCATTTCTCACCATAATCCATCTTAGCAACTTGAAATCGACTGTAATAAAAACAAAAAATTTGAATTTTCCCATTAATTATTAGGCAAATAATGTGCAAGCACCCCCTCACCCGCACCAAATACAGTGTGAGGCCCATTTTCAAACTGACATGTGTGATGACCAGAAGTAAATCTATTTGTTAGTTTAACTTGACAACTCAGAAATACATACCTTTTTCCAGATAATGCTAGTTGTAGGATATATTTATCAAAATAATAATAAACCATTCGTTCTCGTTCTTCTAATCCTGGTGACTGGAAATCCACCATTTCATCTATTCTATCATTTATTGCCCAATCAAACTGCTCCGGTTGATTACTTGCTAAAACTAACATAAACCTGAAATCAAAGAAAGCTTAGAAAGAACTCCCATGTGCTGAGTGTATTGGAGACACATTAAATATAATTCGAAATTACTTAGCTGAAAACTAATTATGCAAATCAAAAAATTAATATGACCAGATTTGAGTGTAAAACTAATGAGGTCTGCGCAATGTAACAGAAAATCTATGTTTCCAAGTTTAATTGAAATGTGATTAGAACCAAAAAATTATGAATTATTATGCTTATTAGGAAATTAATATGAACTGATTTTTACCCCAAACTAATTAGGTTTGTACATTGTCCTAGAGCATCTTTGTACTAAGTTTCATTGAAATGGAATAATTAGTACTTGAGATATCGGTGTGAAAGCTTAAGATTGATTAATTATGCAAATTAGGTAATTATTATGTACAGATTTTAACCCACAATTATTCAGGTCTGTCTATTGTCCTACAGCATCCATGTACATTCATTGATATGTGATGTATAGTACCTGAGATATCAGTGTGAAAGTTGATTAATTATGCAAATTAGGTGATTAATATGCACAAATATTTACCGGAAACTAATTGGGTCTGCATAATTCTAGATTCATTGAAATGTGATGATTAGTACTTTAGATATCAGTAGAAAAGCTAAAAAATAATTATGCAAATTAGGTAATTAATATGCACAATTATTTACCCTAAAACTAATCAGGTCTCTGCATAGTCCTAAAGGATCTATGTACCAAGTTTCATTGAAATGCGATGATTAGTACTTGAGATACCCGTGGAAAAGCTGAAAATTAAC